TGAAAATAGCAAGAGGACATTCATACTCTGCAATCCAAGACTTGATTAAATCCACCAAAAACCTGACATGACGATAACGAGTGTTTTTCAAAAAACACACATCCCTCCCTGTGTGTCTCTGAGCCGCAGCGACAGGGCCTGATTCAGAGCGGGTCATTCTGCTGTTAGTTCTGGACTGGTGCTGGTGGAGAAAGCAGACTGCTCCGTGTGTGTTGTCGCTGTGCTGCTGTCACGTCTGTTCCTTGATCTCTGCGTCACCGACCATTTGATATTCGTGTGACAGAAAAAATTCTAAAATAAAAAAACGTTATTGTCCAGCCGCGGCCGAAAAATCAATAAGCAACCTTACTACGCTATAATCGATAATCGAGCGGCGAGCTACTGAAAAGCTGCCCGCGAGCTACCGGTAGCTCGCGATCGACGTGTTGGAGAGCCCTGCTTTAGTGCCTTAAACCAAACGGTCTCTAATGACAGAACACCATAGGGCCCTGCATTACATTTGCTCCATTGGATGGGCCCTGCACCAAATTGTATCCCCTAAGAGCACCCTGCATCACATCTTCTCCATTGGACTGACACTGTCAATTGTATCCAATGACAGAACACCATAGAGGGCTCTGCACTACATTTTGTCCATTCCCTTCAAGCAAATATTTCCTTTCATCCTGCATCAAATGCAATTTTCACCCTGCATCATGTGTTCCCCATTAAAAGAAGAACAAAGCAACCTAAATAACCGCTGTTCGCTAGGCTGGTGATTCATTCCTTGCTCCTCCTGTCTACATGTCAAAGCGTAAACAGTTAACTGAGAGCCTTAACTTTGTACCTAACCCTCAACAGTCTTACGTTGTGTTCAAGTCAAGGTAATGGACTTTCGATTTTATTATAATTGAATCATTTAGTGTTAATTGAAACTTAATAAGAAGCATGTCCAAAAAACTCATGTTCTTCATGAGAGACGGTACGTGCCGTGGTTAGTTTGTGGGTTAGACTCCCCCCTCTCCCCCTGATTGTCTCCCTCCAGATAGAATATAGAATCGAAGGGATGAAACCCCTCTTTAATGGTCACACATGCAGAGCACACAGCACACACAGTGAAATGTGTTCTCTGCATTTAACCCATCCTAGTACCAGGAGTCTAGTACTAGGAGCAGTGGGCAGCTATTTTACAGCGCCCGGGGAGCAATGGGAGTGGGGGGGGGGGGGGGTTGTCCGGTGCCTTGCTCAATGACACCACGGCAGGGCCCAGGAGGTGAACTGGGACCTCTCCAAGTAGCAGTCCACACTTCATATTTAGGTCTGTTCGGGGACTTGAACCGGCGACCCTACGGCTCACAGTCCAAGCCCCTACTGACTGAGCCACTGCCGAACAGATGCAACCTGTCTCTCAGGTGCTCCCAATCCCCAATCAAACCCTGTATAAAGGATTGAGGAGCTGTTGCACCCCTCTCTTCCCTTCCCCTCTGGGCAGCATGTGAAGTGTGTTGTGTCTGTGTGAGACCTGTTAGTCTGTGTAGTGTTAGAAGATGTGCTCCATTGTTTCTTTTGACATGGTTCTTTGTTATCGCTTTCTTTTCTAAGAAAGTTTTTTTTTTTTGTCTTCAGTTTTCAACAATATATTTTAAGTTTGCAAATGAGTTTTTTTCGCCTGGTTATTTTATATTTTTATTTCCCTTTCACCCTAGACTATTAGGCACCGTAACAGAAATTATTGTGGAAAGATTGTTATGGAGTCAAGGTAAAAGAGGGTCTAGGCGCTGATGCATTGAAGTGTGGGTGGTTTTTAATTCTTGCCCCACTGTAGTGAAATTGGAGCCATGACCTACATTTCAAACAATTTAGCTGTGAGATTAAGTATTAGTGTACTTCAAAGGAGAGGAAAAATCTGTGGCCTTGAGCCATGCGCACATGTCCACCTCAAAGTTTGTGGCTAACTCTCAGATGTTTCTATTGGAACAGTAAAGATAGCCGATGTGGTTATTTTGACCCCAATAAATCCTATAATTTCTCTGCTATATCTTCAGCAATAGTTCAGATTGTCTGGTTTGTGTGATCCTTGCCTCGCACTCATGTTCATTTTCAATTTGTCCTTCCTTCAGACTTCTGCCCCCCTGCTTACCTCATTTGTTTTCCCCTCCATCTAATCTCAGACACTTCCTGTTCGACTGTTTGTCTTCCTTTTTCTCCTTCGCTTTCTCCATCGACATCTACCTGCGTCCGTCCATATTGGACAACACCATCCTGAATTGGGTTTGATCTCTATAAGCAGCATTTATTTGATGTGAAACAGACTGAATTGAGGTTGGCAGATAGAGGAGAGCGAAATAGATGGGTGGTGACACTGACGGCCCGTCCACACAGCGGCGTGCGTTGAAGCTTGCCGGCGGGCTTGTCTGAAACTCGACCAACAACCAATCACATGAATCTCCCGCCCCTGACACACAAGCAGCGGTTTGATTGGCTAGAGCTTGTACTGGCATATGATTCGATTGGCTGACGCTTCTGCCGAGGCTTCAAAAGTTGAACATTGCTCAACTTTTGCAGCGAGCCACGCCAGCAAAGCTCCGCTTCGCTTCCCACAATGCAGTTCGGCAAAAAGTGACGTCACCCCATTCAAAGTGAATGGTGAAGCTTTCAACGCACGCCGCTGTGTGGACGGGCCGTGAGTGTTGCATGGTGTGGTGTTGTGTGTTTGTGTGTGTTCGCCAGGCTTGGGGAGTAATGTAATGTATATAGTATACAGGATACAAAAAAGATAACTATATTTCCTTACAGTTACATACAAATAAAACATAATCAGATTACTGTTACATTTTTTGAAAATTGCGAATAATTAGAAGGATTACAATGTTACTAAAAACAATGAATTAAAAGAGCTTATTTAGTTTATTGTGTAATAAACTGATTGTATTTTTTCTTTCAAGCTGTACTGTTCTTTAGGTTAATACCATAAATTGGAATCTGTACACATACTTCCTGAATTTGCTTTATAGTTTTACTTTCATTGGTTCATTTTTTCTTTTTTTAATTCAGTAGGTGAACTCATATTGTAAAAATATAGTGCTTGTGAGCTGAACTGAATGTATAAAACTCAAATGCATAATTTTCTGTTAGCTCAGTTTTTTTAATCAAATATTATATAGATTATAAAGGGCAAATGTACCCAGAAGTAAACAGTTTAATTGAATTTCTTATTCATAATTGGTCACTTAAAATAAAATGTTCTCTTTTTTATTATTTTATACATATTTTATGACAGAATAGTGCTGCTAGTAAAAACGTGGATTATAAAGCTGGAGTTGCCTTTTTCAACTAATCCCATTGAAATACCAAAGACGAGTTTTACTACATTACATATACTGTACATTGCATTTAGCTGACACCTTTATCCAAAGCGACTTACAATTACCAATTACAGGGACATTCTCCCTGGAGTAACTAAGGGCTAAGTGCCTTACTCAAGGGCACACTAGTGGTGATGTTCCAGGTGGGATTTGAACTCGCAACCTTCCAATCCTTCAGCCCTCCTCACTATCCATTAGACCACCACTACTCGCACTTACAGTAAAGGTAGGGTAGGTAAGTTTGAGAAACTGGCTCGAGATACACTTTTTGTTATATTCCATGGAATGCTCTTAACATCCCGATAGCAATGAATATCTTAAGTGCTTTGACAACAAATCCATAAAAAAATGTCATCTGTGGAAGCCGTGGCGCTGTAAAAAGTACAACCAATCATTTTAGCCGGCCCGGCTAAAATAACTGGATGGCCTACTTGCCTGTCAGCCTTCCATCTGTGCACAAATTTATCTCGTGCCCTCATTGGTCATGTGCGCGTTCGTGTGTGTTGGAGGAGGGGCTGTATAAGGAAGTGGCAGATTTTCTCCGGTTGTGTATTTTCAAATTCTAGCGATCTCGAGCCGGTTTCTCAAACTTACCTACCCTTCCTTTAACAATAACACAAATAGGTTCATTGATGGGCTTTTGATACACAGACACTATTAAAAGTGTAATTAGTAACGTTTAAACAATGTTGAACTTGCAGGTCATTCCTTTAGTTAGAATAGTGAAAGTGAGGATCTACATTATTATAGGGCATAAACTACTTCTGTACAGCTTTATACTAAACTTGAGAAACATCCAGCGAGTCACTTAAGGTTTGCAATTTCAAGGCAACATGAGTTTGTAAAGATAGTGTGCAGCTATTTGCAAATGACAGCCAGTTGGTTGCTTTTGGATTACACCATAGTTCCCTCGTGGTGAAATTGAACTTGTCATATTTAAATCAGAATCTAGAAGAGTTTATAATTGTACATGATAAGGGGATGAGAGGATTGAATTAAACGTATTGGACCCAAGCCAAAGTCCCAGCCAAATTCCCAGACTGGACATGTGGTAATTAACTTTTTAAAGGGACTTTCCACGTTATCGTGTGTCATTCAAGTGTCAGAACACAGATAATCTGAGACCCACAGGCTCTAAACTGTACACAAGCTGAGTACAGCTGTCACTCATCATGAAACCACTGGGCATTAAGAAAAAAAGAGATACATTTAGCTGTTTGTGCTGTTCTCACTCCCCCTTTAGACACACACACACACACACACACACACACACACACACACACACACACACACACACACACACACACACACACACACACTGCACACACTTATGTAAGCATACACTGCTGCCTCTCTCTGGACATCAATTTGAACTACACATTATTTAAAAGCAGGTCAGTTTAACTACGGTCATTTTGTAAATTACTGATACTTGCTCTCTTGTATGTGAGGCTCTATTGTGTCCTTAAAGTATATGGTTTATTCCTCTCTCTGTGGAGTCACAATAATTCAAACTCTAATTAACAAAGTTTCACGTGTGGAAGTGAAATAGGAAATGTATCATCATTTGCCACCTTGAAGTGGTTTAATTCCATCACATCACAATGCCCAAGGACGTATGGGTCTCTGAGAGAAGTCATTGACATTGAAGTCAGATTGATATCTTTCATGTTGTTTTTATTGTGTTTTCCAAATGTTTCTCCTTACAGTCTAGAAGGATCACAACACAGAAAATGTTCAACAAAAGAGCAACAGCATTGAGTTTGAGTTTGTGGGACAAACTGTAAAGACAGAAATTCATCCTTGTCAAATTAAGCATTGTCTGCAGAACTTAAATACAGGACGCCATAGCATATTAATCCATAGAAATATTGATTTTTAGATAGCAGATGTTTTACACTCATTGTTCTGAAATATGACAGGTCAAAACAAATGAAAACCATGCACTGATACATATATTTTTCAACAAATAACAAAAGGATTTTGGAAAAACAAAACTAATTTAACAAAGTTTTGTAAAAAATCAAGGTAGCTTAGACAAATGGAAGGCCCTATTGGGGTGTTGTATTGTATTGCCCAGTAAAAAAAGGCGGATCACTTATAAACTGATTAACGTACCATGGCTGAACTTGTGAAACACCTCTCTTAGATACTTCTCTGCAATGTGAATTCACCCTTTGCCTCTCTTCATTAATCATCCATTGACCCCGTGGATAATCTTGTGTCCCCAAATGTGCTGACCAGGGCTTTATTGCTTCATAGATTACTTGTTTTGGAATCCAAAACTGCGTAAATGTCTGCAAACATTTATTTTATCTACTGCCAGCAGGTTAATCCACCCCAAAAGAGTGTCACATGTCCAGCTATATAATGCCTTGCATGTTAAACAACAATGTTCTGGAACTGGTATTCTCTCTTTCTGTGTAAATGATACTACTGTAAAAAAAATATAGCTTCCTCACTGTTGCTGCAAGTAACTGAAATGTTGAGAAATATGACTTTGCTGCCATGCAAAGTAAAATGTAACTGCCAGGCATGGGAGAGTTGAGGGACCTTTGGCAGACCAATAAGGTTAGTCTGTTGCAACCTCATCTTTATCCATGTGTGGTTTTTTTGCACTCTAATAAATAAAACACCCACAAAAAATGGCTTGGCCTGTGAAGGGGAATCATATTCACACAATAGTATAACTAAATCCATACATATCTGCACTAAAGTTTGAGGATATGCACACACTTCAATGTTTACATTCATTCTTTGAATATTTTCCACCAAGTAAATACATTCTTTATAGTTTGAAACTTATCCACTTGGCACATTCATAATGTCCTAAAATCCTCATACTGTGGCCACTGAATCTGGTGTGAATTTCCTTTATTTTAGCCATTTATTAGATAATCTCAGCCTCATTTGGAGCGGAGGAGCCTCAGCTCCATCCAGCCATTGATTTGAGTGCTCAATAATTAAAATAATAGTATGAGGGTAGGAGGTATAGCAGAAACGAATGATACCAATATTCCTTTTCTTTTACAGCAAATAACCTAGAAAAATGGATGGCAGTGACTAAAACCAGTGAGGAAGCACCGTTATCTCATCATAACATTTGTTTCAAAGCTACATTTGTTAAAGAAAGTTTTATTAACCTTTAACATTAGTTCCAACATACTGGCATTACTTAGCTCTTCATAGCAATATAATACCTACAATTAAATTACATATTTTTACAGGAATTATTCTACATTCTTGGTTGTTGTTGTTGTGGTTGAGTTAGAGTTGTGCATTATGTAGCTAATTCAAGGAAAGAAAACAATCAATAGCCTTCATTTATTGTCATAAAGCTTAGTTTTTTGTAATTATGAAGACTATAATGATGAGAAGGTTGTAAAATCCAAACACCAAGATCACAACTCTCCCTGACCGCACTATGACCATTTAAATAAATAAATAAAAATCCATACAAATCTCAAAGGTCCATGAATTCAGTGCATATCTTCTGTCAACCTGAGCAGTTGCTAGTTTGATCAAATCCTTTTTTCCAGTTTAATAACGATGCCCTTCTCTGGTCGCAGGATGAGCTCTCCTAAAGGCCGGAGATCTTCACGTTTCTGACAAGCTTCAACACTAAAGTTACGCAGGATGGCTGCCAAGACCACCTTTTCCTCCATGAGAGCAAAACGCTGACCTGAGGGGGATTACAGACAAACACAATCCGTGGTTACTCTCCAGAGAAATATCTGAGGAAAATCTGGAAAATATGCTTGACAGATCTGATCAACTATAGACAATCACACCTTTCCCCTTTCTTACCGATACAGTTGCGGAGTCCAGCGGAGAAGGGGATGTACGCATACGGAGGCCGTCCCACTCCATTCTCAGGCAGGAAGCGCTCAGGCCTGAACTCCTCGGGCTCGGGGAAGTAGCGCCGGTCACGGTGGAGAGCGTAGGTCAAAACGATGGCATTTGCACCTTTGGGCACCTTGAAACCATCTACAGGTGTAAATAAAATGAGTTACTGTTATAAAATGGTGTTTTTTATTTTTGTACAATAAATGTAATCTCACAAAGAATGATATGTTTCAGGTGAAAATGACAGAGGAATTATTAATTTATTAAAAAGAAGAATGTGCTGTTTTAATAAAGTGTGATAACTCACTGATATGGCAGTCTTCACCAATGTTGCGGGCAAAGAAAGGCACAGAGGGAAACAGTCGCAGGGCCTCCTTGATCACACACTCCAGGTATTTGAGCTTCTTCACGTCCTCCATGTTAGCAGGCCGGTTAGATGTACCTTTGTACAATAAACAAAAACAGTGTTAAAGTCAGAACACCATACAGATAATACGAAACAGAGTGTAAATGAGGTCACGCTAACGTTTTGCACTTTCTCCTACTTCTACTGTATATCCTTGACATATGTTCTACTTCTATGGTAGATAAGAGTTTGATAGTACTACATTGTTTAAGTGACACACCCCATTGATGTGTTGCTTTTAATTAGGAGTTAAAAAGTTACTACTTTACTGCCTACATTTCTATAGATGACTATAGATCTAATTCAAGAAATCTGCAGTTAGTTGATGTAAATAATAATTTAACATTTAATTTTTTCTTTTTAATTGGCCTATAACAACAAAATAAAGAACATCAACCTGGTGTTAGCTTAGCATCTGTTACTTCAACAGAGCCATCCAGCTTACGTCATGGAAAAATGCTTTGAGGCCATCGTAAATCCACAGAGGAGTGAAAATAATTCAATTCTTCTTTGTGTTTTAAGACAAATATTTTCACAGCTAATATCTCTGTATAAGCCCCATTAGACTTGTAACAGATACATCTGAGTCAAAAGGCCTTTGGGAAGGAAAACAAATGATGTCATGAAAGTGGGAAGGTGTGGTATTTGGGGAGAGGGCATGTTACCGAACACCTCCTGGAGCTCTTGTTGAACTCGGCTGTGCGCCTCGGGGTGGGCGCCCAGCAGATGCACGGCCCAGTTCATGGAGGCTGCTGTAGTGTCATGGCCCTGCAGAAAAAGGGGTGTTGAATACAAATTTAATAGAAAATACTTAAGACTGTGAGGCTGGGTTAATTGATTTTGTTAGGACCACTTGGGGACAGAGAAAAAAGCTTGAAAATGAGCCATAAAGTAATAAAGTTATTATAGTGAATGTGTTGTTCTACACATTCAGCAGACACGGAAAAGCATTAGCAGTGCTTTGCTGTTTTGGTTTTCGAGCAATCCAGTCAAGTCTAATATAGTTTCATGAACTATTTTTTAACTAACCTAATACAAGTAACACAAAGTTCAAACATTAACACAATACATGATAAAGACAGTCAGTCATGATTTGATATGATAAAGATTGTTTGATTGTTTCTTTTAGGGTATGACAGTGTGTTGTGTATCATATGCTCATATATGCCAAACTGTGACCAGAGGAATGTGCATTTATGTCGGGGAGAAATACATGAATAAATAATCTTAGTTGTATATTTTTATCCACCAACCTCAAACATAAAGGTGTCCACTTCCTCCTGAATTTCCTGATTGTTCATCCTGTTGCCATCTTCATCGGTGGTCATCAAGAGCATGTCCAGAAATGCTCGTCTTCTCTTTGTGTCATTGTCAGAGTCGTTATCTGATTCAATATGGGAAATGTTCTCAGATCTTTCATGTATCACCTGAGAGGAAATTAGGGTCAAGGTTAAGGCTGAATGCTTTATATTGATTAAACAAATTCTCAACATCTAGATTTTCAAACCACAGGCTCCATTACTCACTTTGTTTGTAAAGGAGTGCAGGACCTTGAGTGTCCTGTCATGCTCCCGTCCATCACCAAAGTAATTGTACACAAAGTTAGGCCAAAACCAAGGTGTCCTCTGTCTGCGGCTGATAATGTCACTCATCCTAAACACAAAAAATTAGGATGAAGGCAAAGAATAAAATAATAACAATGCAATTTGACCCAATAACTCTATTATTGTCTGTGTTGTGATGAAAAGATGACTCACTTGTACACACTCTTAACATATTCTGAGTCAGAATTACTCTGGGCGTAAATCTTCTTTCCCATTGCGGTTTCTGAAAAAGAAATGTTGGATATTTGTCGGACATCTTTTTTATTGTCCTAGTCACATTCACTTCAAATATACTCACCACAGATAATGTCCAGGGCACACAGGGTAATGTAATTAAAGCAGTTAAATGGACCCTTCCCCGCCTGCTTCTCCAGCTTCTCCACCAGGATCTCCGCCTGCTCGTTCATCACTTCCAAGAACTCTGTCAGGATGGAGAAGTGGAAGGTGGGGGTCAACATCTTCCGCCGCTGACGCCACTTAGGGCCAGTGCTGACCAAAAGAAGAAGACAACAAGAAGAGTTAAAGGGTTAGGAAGAACAAAATCTTATTTACATATCTTTATATAAATCTTAGGTCAAGGTAAAGGACGAAACCAAATGAGAGAGCAGGTATTGGTATTTCCACTGGAACACACATTATTGTTCCCCAGGCGGTGATCCTTTTACTCCACCTTCAGGTTAAATTAATAATTTATTACAAATAATCAATTTAAATTAACCACATTAATAATGGTAATCCCTTGAACGTTATCAACCCTCACCCCAAAACCTCAATTTGTATGTTAAATATCCACAAATCAAGTGAACAAATGACTATGCAATTTACTTTTTAAACATTTATAATTCTCTACCACCACCTTCTGGCTGATAGTATATAAATGTTTTTCTTTTTTAAATGTAAAGACACTGCAACTAATAACCTTCTTAGGTCAAATGCAGGGATGGGCAACTTGGGTGGTGGTGGGGGCCACATCATGTATGTATTGGCCACCAGGGGGCCGCAGATTCACTTGGAACACACACACAAATTCCATGTATTGTATGTAATTATTAACAAATATACTAAGTCTGACATCTTCATTGACATTTTTCAATCTTTCAGGGAACATCCTCTAATAAGCTCACTAAACAAATATCAGTTCACAGAAATGTTATTTAATTTTTACAAGTGGCATGTTTGTATTGAACAGGTTATTTAAGAGTGGAATAATTTAAACTATTGGAAAGCACGGAAAATGCGTGTGCATTAAGATTAAACATTAAGATGACATAAACATGAAGTCATGAACACTAACCCAGACATATGGGCTCAGAACAGTCTCATAATACACACATGCACACAGAAGGATTCACACTTGTATGTCATGATCCGCAAAAGGATTCACACTTGTATTTCCGGATCCACACTTGTGTTTTTCAATGCACACACAAATGTGTTCCGTTTCATATTCATGTAAATAAAATCCAAATACAGAAAAAAGTTTTACATATGTATTTTTGATCCTCACATATTTGTTTTCCGTTTAAATCCCCTGAACCTGCAAACACAAACCGCTTTCTGTGCATGGATCGCTGTGCATTCGTGTGTGGGTTTTTTGAGACTCCCCTGACGGTCACCCGATTCGTACTTGTAATTTTTTCTATCTATAGCCAATCAGATGTCTCCTTCATTCTAAGCCAATCACATGAGTGCGTCCCCACGAGGGTATGATTTATTGCGTTCATGACACTTCATATACGCATTTTGCGCTGTCCGGAGCAGGGTTTCCGCAGACAGAATTTATTTTACCGGACAAATTTGAAACTTACCGGTCATGTTTCAATAATAAGAAGAAGAAGAATTGTGTAGCAGAGTTTCCGTTAGCAGGTAATTACCGGACTATGACCGGATATGGCTAATAACACGGGAGTAACGGATCCTATATTTTCCTCTCTCCCTCCCTCTCTCCCCGTCAGTTTCTCATGCAGCTCGCTAAAACTTCACTCGCGTTTATGTCCATATCGATCAGATCCAGCTCTCCTGATCGGCCTTTATAGAGAGCACCGATCAAACTATTAAGAGTGAATATCGGCCGATAATGACCGGCGGGGCTCCCCCCATTGACAGTTCACTGTCTAGCACTGGCTTCGTAGTGCACTGATCGATTAGGCTAAGCTAACCTGTAGCTGCCCCCTCCACACTCACAACAACTTCATACAGACATAAATAAAGCAGCTGTATTCGCCATACAGGAAACACACATTTAAAACGGTTTTGCCTGCCGTTTTTGTGTACACAAGCATTCATTAATGGTTCGGAAAGTGGCACTGTACCTTAATAATATAAAGGCTTGTATTTGCGTGCATTTCCTGTTCGGAAAGTGGCAATGTACTGAGAGTGGAGGTGTCCTGAGATTAGCGCCTGCAGGCAGGCTCCATGGACCTGTCAGCTCCGGACAGCGCAAAATGCGCACATGAAGCGCTACGTCATAAACGCAAGAAATCTACCCTCGTGGGGGCGCGCTCATGTGATTGGCTTAGAATTGAGGAGACATCTGATTGGCTATAGATAGAAAAAATTACAAGTACAAATCGGGTCACCGTCAGGGGAGTCTCAAAAAACCCACACACGAATGCACAGCGATCCATGCACAGAAAGCGGTTTGTGTTTGTAGGTGCAGCGGTTTTAAACGGAAAACAAATATGTGAGGATCAAAAATACATATGTAAAACTTTTTTCTGTATTTGGATTTTATTTACATGTATATGAAATGGAACACATTTGTGTGTGCATTGACAAACACAAGTGTGGATCTGGAAATACAAGTGTGAATCCTTTTGCGGATCATGAAATACAAGTGTGAATCCTTCTGTGTGCATGTGTGTATTATGAGACTGTTCTGAGCCCATACAGACATTAGTTGTCTAACTTGAACCTAACACACTTGTAGCCTGTCTCTGTTGACGAACAATAAGGGGAGTGTCAACCCAGGCACCTCTCAACTCTCTGCTGTTCCTCAGCGCCGCTTCCCTCCCTCCCACTGAAATTATGAATGAAAGGCGTATAGTAATCACAGCAGCGACGTGCAGTCAGGGGAGGCAGGGGAGGCAGAGCCTCACCTGTCATACTCCAATGTAAAGACAAAAAAACTAAAGAAAAGTTTCCAGTTTCTGTGGGGGTAAGGTGAGGCAGAGATGAGATCTGCCTCACCTCAGATGCGTCACCCCACAGAAACTGGCTGGAGCGCGGGCACCAAGTGCATGCCTGTTCCAATCTCACTGTAGGTCACAAAAGTAATGTTTGTAGATCCCCTTATTATATGTATACTCGTCATCCATTGTCTCTAAATAATTTATTTCACGTATATGATATTTAGGCTCGCTGGTCTCATCATACAACGGCAATGAAAAAGCACCAGGGGAGGCAGCCATAACCTCTGCCGCACTGAAGGGGGCGCACGTGAGCCCACAGGTTCTTGTTGCTACTGTTATTAATCTACGCAGAGACGGTAGACGCAAACAACAAACTAGACTTCTGAAACTAGAGGAAGATAAGGAGGACTTTTACAAAAAAGTAATAGAGATTTTTGTCCAGAAGGATAGGCAAATGGACTTCATCTTCAAGTCAAGGTAAGACCACAATTGTATTGAAAATGGGATCTTACTAAGAGAGAACAATCCAATATTTAAATGAAACTACATTTTTTGGGTATCCTTTTGTTGAACAGTCTGTTTAAAATTAATCGAAACATCAGACTAAAAAAGCTTTTGAAAATAACAGAATATTTTGATTAAGGTCAAAATATAATATTTGTAAATCTGACTCTGAAAGAGTCAGTGCCTCACCAGCCATGAACCTCACCGCACGTCACTGAATCATAAGGCGCTTTCACACCGGAGTACTTTTCCCAGTATAGTTCTGATATAGTTCCGAAATTGTGCGTTCACACCAAAAAAATCCGGAACTAGAACTTAGTTTGTGAGAACCTTTCCACCCCCTTTTCAGTCCCTGCTAGAGAGCAGGTACTTTCATGGGAGAAAAAGGTTCCCATTTCTGATTGGCTGGGCGGAGTCCCAGAAGCTTCTACTGAAGCCAGTCCCCAACTCCGGGGACTTCGGGTGGCAGTATACGCCGTGAAGTTGTTTGCGGCCTGCCAATAAACCCAAAACAGAAGAAGAAGAAGTGACATCAGCGGCTCATTTGCCTAATCCTCCCTCAGGGACTTATTCCGGTGTGAACGCGATCTGCTCTTTAGTTCATCAGAGTTCTCATTAACTAAGTACGGCAAAGTACTTGGTATGAAAGCGCCTATTGGTCGCATTCACACCTAATAGTCCGTTGCGCACCAGACGACAGTTTGTTACATTAGGCGCTTTCACACCAAGTACTTTGCCATACTTAGTACTTAGATTTTTAAGACATCCGCGTACTTGTGACGCGTAAATACTGTGCTTCCTATGTGTTGGTGCGGACTGCGTTAACACCAGCGATGAACCGCTCCAGAGTTCACTAGCAAGCGGTCCGAGACCACCTCTTTTAAGCGGACCCGAGTCCGGTTGTTTAGTTCACTTCGGAGGTCTCGGACTGCGTTCACACCAACCCAAACAAACCGCACCAACCGGTGAAACGCACCAGGGTTCGATTCAACCGGTCTATACAAGGCTGGCAAGCGGTCCGAGACCACCGCTTTTAAGCGGACCAGAGTCCGGTTGTTAGTTCACTTCTGAGGTCTCGGACTGCGTTCACGCCAACCCAAACGAACCGCACCAACTGGTGAAACGCACCAGGGTTCGATTCAACCGGACTATACAAGGCTGGTGTGAATGCGACCATAGATAACACGGCAGGGTCCGTGACAGTTTGTTTTCATCTGATTTCAAATAAACAAAGTCTTTGTTTTTAGAATATTAAACTTGTTTCGCCAAATTCAGATCATAAATACAACTTTGTAGCTTGTAAAGGCATAATTACAAGCGGTAACTTAACGTCACAGCTAGGGTTGGGAACCGAAACTCGGTTCCAGATGAGAACCGATAAGAAAATGCTGGGTACCGGGTACCCATACAAAATACACAATTTCGGTTCTGCTTAACGGTTCCTAAACGCGGTAGACCCTGTATTCCACCTGGTCCTTCTGCGCCGCGGTGACCCGGTGGAATACAGGGTAAGGGCGGAGTGGCCATCTGTGTGTTCTGGAGAATCACAGAATGGCCGGTCGTCAGCGGGCTGTTGACGGCCGGCTCGGTTCGCTGGCGGCCGGCACCGCCCTTAATTTTTTCAAACGGCATCATGTAAGTTGCGCTGACAGGCGACAGAGGTCCACAGTTGCCCCGCAGCGAGGCTCCCCCCCGCCCTCCCGTAGACAGTTCACGAGCTCAGTCACTTCATAACACCAAAGATTGATTGCGGTAAACGCTCAAATATTTTTGTTATCTAAACGTTTGACCTCTTTCTTTTAACAATTTTGGAATCGAAACGGGGAATCGATAAGAACCGGAATCGATTAGCAGAACCGGAATCGGAATCGATCAATTTCAAACGATACCCATCCCTAGTCACAGCAGGCATAACAACAGCCGGTGTTTCTTGTGAGTGTTTCCCCGGGAAACAAACACAATACACACAAACGCGTCAAAGATTATTTTGTGGTATTTGGCTGCCGAACGGAATCATGTACGCAGCTCCCAACGTAACTAGGAGTCTAGTGGACGGTATCAGTACTACAAGTAAAACATTTTTCTTTTTCTTTTTTAAATTAATTACGTTGTTTATAAATGAATCCGCAAAAAGAGGAGGTGGGACCACCATTTGCCCATCCCTGGTCTAATGTAACAAAGTAGGTTTACTCAAGTACTGTACTTAAGTAATACATTTAGGTACTTAAAGTTTACGTGAATATGTTTACATTATGCTAATTTGAGCGTTTACTTAATTACATTTGTGTTGTTTTTACTCCACTACTTTTACACCTTTAGTTACTGGTTACTTTGAAGATTTAGATTAATAATACATAACATAAATCGACACATGTTATATTACCATGTTCAACAGTGAAAGGGTGAACACATTTATGCACAAATAATTGTAATAAAGTGATTGATAAATATCTGGTGCTTAAAATGTGACTTAAGTAAATAATATGATACCTAGTAAGAAGTCCAGTTCCAAGCCAAGGGTGAAGGAAGGTGTATACATAGGATTTCTCCATATGAACCGCATTGGTCAGAACAGTCTACAAGCAACAAGTGCAAAAAAAAAAAACGTAAGAAAGAATGACCAATTAAGCAGAAATGTTGTTATTCAATAGCTGCAGATGTGAGCAGTTGCAGTCATGTAGCAGTAGCAGTGGCTACAGTGTGTTAAAGTGCAGTGACATTCAAAAGACCATGTTGTCGGGATTGCGAGGTTAAGGTCTACTCAGGGTGATTTGCTGAATTGAGTTTCAACGCAGCATGCTTCTGCCTCATTTAATGAGTGTCAAATTAATGAAAGTGCTTCAATATTTTGTACAAACACTTTTGACTATAATTGCTTTACACAGAATGTGCATTAAAAAAAAGACACACATGTTTTCTCTTATTCAACTACTGAGACTACATATTCAGAAGAAAATACATGTGGACATTCACAGATACACCCACTGAGTGCATACTTGGTGTTTAAATGTAGAGTTGTCAGTCACTGTACCTCAACATTCTCAGCATGAAACAAAATCACACATGGAAGTGTTCCAATCCAGATTTTAAATAGCGGTGCATCCCTGAACTCCTGGACAAAATCCTGAATTTGACCAAAGAAATCTGAAAAAAATAAATACAATTCACTTACAGTAATTATACAGCATCAAGTAAACACTAACTTTTTCAGTCAAGTCTTTTGTATCATATGCAGCCTCCTGTAGCAGAATGTTGATTTTTGTCTTACCTCCTGGATTGTTTTTGAACATTAGTGCATTTCCAATGATCGGATATGTTCCTTCCAACTCTGGAATAGGCTTCATTGTGAACCATTTTTGCAGGTAATCGCTGAGCAGCCTGTAGGTGATGTAAGTCAGACTCGCAATGACAATGCTGGTTCCAAATAAAGCAATAGAGTAACTACCGAGTAACACTGCCATCGTGTCTGCTGTGTCTGCTGTGTCTACTGCATGCAGTGTTTGTGTGTGTTCAAATAGCAGGAGGGCTGAGCACCTGTGCCTTTACTGCGGACATGTGACATGTGTTTGCCCCTCCTTTTCTCTGCAGCCCGCCCACTGACAGATAACTGGGTTAGGATAATTTATGGCTGTTACTATTTAATGCCCTGAAAGGAAAAAGGAGATGCATAACATGGGAGATAGTAGAGAGATAAATTAGAGTATTAAATGTGGAGGGAAATAAATGAGTTGAATATGTTGACACATAATATATGATTAAGATGTTAATTATGTAGTTGTTGGTATCAGACCGGCCCCTGACCAAGGCCTTTGGCCTATTTATGTTCTCCTTTTCATTGTGAATACCTTAATGCAACGTCCAATCTCATTGGTTAATAAATGATATCCTTACCTTTGTGATATTTATAATTAAAACCCTTTTATAGAATGATTGTAAATAATAATGGGACAAAACAACACCTACAGTAATACCAACATAATTCACTAATACCAAAAATATTTCACTGAACACAAGGCAAGGCAAGTTTATTTATATAGCACCTTTCAACACAAGGCAATTCAAAGTGCTTTACAAAAATGAAAGACATTAAGAAAATGGCATTTAAAAACAGTCATTAAAAAGCAAAGATAACAAATTAAACATTAAAAGACAAAATACATGAATAAAAGTTTACAGTGCAGTTTAAGATGTGAATAGTTCAATTAAAAGCAGCGGCAAAAAGAAAAGTCTTCAGCCTGGATTTAAAAGTATTAAGAGTTGCAGCGGACCTGCAGGTTTCTGGTAGTTTGTTCCAGATATTTGGAGCAACTACCAGAAACCTACACAGGTATACAACAATATTTATACAGTGACTGTGTTAAAAAAAACTATAACTACAAATAAATTAAATAAAAAATAAATGAATAAAAGGTATGCAATGAGCTGGCAGTCGCAGGCCATAATAACTTTTTTTTTTCCTTTTACTTTAAATTCCTTTAAAAGGCCAGTACTATAATACCTGGGGTTTCACCAGGGTTTATAGTTTGAAGGCAAATCTGTTCAATAGCAAGAACAGATTTTTTTGGTCTGACCAGTCATTCCGGTTTTGCAGCATAGTCTGTTGTTGCTGCTGAATCAGCATCTCTGTGACACTGTGTCTCAACAGAGATTGAACATTAGTGCTCTAGCAAGCATGAGGAAACTGAAGTCATGTAATTTGTATTTATCATGATTTAAAAGTTACGCAACCTTGCATTGAGTTCACATTCTGGAATACAAACATACACATACAGTAGTGAATATCTTACAGCTGATCTCAGTATCTTTATAAAAATCAGCTTTAATGAGCTCTAATTGTGCCACTTAGTAAATAGAGCCTGACACGCCCCTGAAAATGAGTCAGCTTTTAGGAAACAGAAAACAAATACGAGTGACTTAACTTTACAAGGAAACAAGTTTCTAAACATTTGTACTAGATTAAACCGTAACAGACAGTACATGGTCAAATCATTAGTTGTGTTTTAACCCTGTAAAGCCCAAATATATTATATACATTTTATTTTTTTTTACCTTTCAGATGTTGTTGTAGGAAGCCTCTGGAGCAGAAATGAAAGAGTTTTCAATTTTTTTTTAAGGGAAATGTTGTAATATTGCAACGTTGGCCTTAGGTGGGAACATAATTTCTGTATTTCTACTCACATTGTCTGAATAAATATATTGAACAACTAAGGGTTAATTTGCAGGATTGATTGCTTACTTAGCCCTATATCAGTATATAGCATGAATAATAATCACACATCAGTCATATTTTTTATGAATAGTCATTTATTAAATATTAATACAATGGTAGTCCCAAAAAAACAGTTTCTGTCGTCGGAAAAGCACAGACGGACGTCACACTTGGTGCATTGTGTGTTTGTGTACCCTTTACTGCAGTGTCTGCAGCGTCTCCTCTTTGTCTTCACTGGAAAATGTGCCATTAGGGTCCTTGCGTACATCCAGTGGAGGCTGTGATCTCTTGGATGGGGCCCCGTTTGGTGGACTCCCATCACCTGAAGATGGTCTCTTCTGAGCATTCAACGGGCTCCTTGATGTCACTGTCGGTGCTTGGCTCATGTTGCCTGACGATGGTCGTCCTCTCTTGGGTGTTTTCAGAGGAGTTGTGTTCACCTGATTAGAACAGAATCAATCAAAATACATTAGGATACCAGACAAAAATATTACAGTGAAATATAAAATAATATTACAAACGGCAAATAGCAGAAATGCATTCTTATGAGAGAGGATGCTAGATCTGCCTGAAACTGTCTCCTGTTCAGGATCTCCTGCTTTGGCATCTTTAGAGCTTTGCACTCCCGCTTGTAGAGGAGCCAGGCGTTGATCACAGCAAGGATGATGGTGTGCCAGAAGATGTTAACGTACCAGCGTCGGGACTTCATGGGGAACTTGTATTTGGCCGTAAACGAGTCCAACAAATCCATACCTCCCATGTACTTGTTGTAAGTACCCACAATGTAAGGCCTCTCAACTTCTACGTAGGTTTTGTTGGCTTGTCCCAGCGTTGAATTTTCTGCACAGGGTCTGGTCCAGCCAAGGATGACACAAGGCATATCAATGTCACTGTCCTCTGATTCCATCTCAAACTTGGCAGCAATCACATCCTGCACACTGAATCAAGGACCTCTCTTTGCTGTTGGCATTCTGAAATGGAAAAAGTTATTAATAAATATGTATCAATAATACATATGCTTATTAAATTGTAATAGATTACCTGAAGGAATAGATGGGGTGGTGGAACAAGTGTTCATTCGCTCTGGCTTAGCCTATTATCATACTAAAAAGAACACATGCACCACCCCCTTCCAGGTGTCCCGATGCAACAAGTATCTGAATCCTATTTACATTGTACACTTGAGTCACATGGCTTAGCCTATTGTCATAATAAAAGGAATACCTACACCCATACATGCAGGTAAACCAATGCAACAAGTCACACAATCCCACCTATTATCATAATAAAAGGAATACCTACACCCACACATGCTGTCACAATCTGCTCCCTCACTCACATATTTCTTCTGCATTAGCATTTCTCAGTCACCTAGTCACCTGGTAGTCACACCCTGTTTCTCTCTCACACTCTGTTACACCCATCAGCTCCACTAGTATATCACACCCTTCACTCTCACCTCAGTGCCAGATCGTACTTCGCAGCATGCTAGTCTTTCCCGCATTACCTCCCAGATTGCTTCTCCCCGGTTTCGACCTTGCCCTTATCCCTGACCCGCCTGCATCGCCTGTTTCCCGACCCTGCCTGTCCCTGGATTATTCTGCCTCGCCAGTTTCCTGCCTGTACCTGGACTATTCTGGCTCGCCTGTTTCCTGACCCTGCCTGTACCTGGACTATTCTGCCTCGCCTGCTCCCTGACCCTGCCTGTACCTGCGTCTCCCGTCTTGCCTATACTCCTGGAACCCTCGCCTGTCCCCGACCAGCCCATTGCCTACTGTCTTATACCAGAACTGTTCAGTTGAAACTATTTATAATAAAGCTGGTTACCGACTTTCCCTGGTCTCCCGTGTGTTTCATTTTGGTTCTCAGCTGGTTCGTGACACATGCAGATAAACCAGTTCAACAAGTCACACAATGCTGTCTGGCTAATGATACAGGCTAATTATCATACTAAAAGGTATACATCCAATTGTCCCCAACACATTTCAGAAAGAAATGTTTCTGCCAGAACCTGAGAAGAGTTAAATGTATTTTGTAACTAATTAACTGATAAGATACAAGTAGAGTTTAAAATATTGCTATAGATATAATTTCACATACTTTTATCAGAAATAATGTAATAATTTATTCAATTCTGGTCTTAATTCAACATCTTAACAGAGGACACATTTAGAACTTAGCTATAGTGAATTATCAAAGACATTATATTTCTATTTGTGTTTTATTTCCATATGTGAACATATAAGAAGGGCAATGTCCATGACAGGTGCACATGCTATTTTGACTCCCACACTGACCCAGGTATGTAATATTGCAACAAAGACATAAGCTGCTCAAAATCAAATTTGATTAATGCATTCCGCAATAACTGAATATGTACATGTTATAGACATTGTAATAATCCCAAAAAAAGCTATTTGAAGCATTTTACTTGAATCTGACAATCCAGTTCAATAAACAAAGAGATGTTGCTCGTTTGAAGATTCGGAAGTTGTGTGAGTGTATGGCCAGAGGGCAGGACCTATAAACACATTTAATACCCAACAGCATTGTGAGGCTGAACAAAAGGACCTTTTGACTATGTAAATGTAGTATTTAAAAAATCAAAAAACATTTACTGACTTTTTAGGATAGTGTTACGTGCCGCAGTTGGTGCTTGTGTGTGTGTGTGCTTTTGTGTGTGTGTCTCTCTCTCTCCCTGATTGTCTCCAGGTGCAGCCTCTCCCCCAGGTGCTCCCAATTCCCAACCAGGGCCTCCTTAAAGGACCTGAGGAAGGCTGCAGTGGCTCTCCTTCTCCTCTGGCCACATGTGTGCAGCCTGTGCACGTGCTGTAGTGTAGTGTCTCTGTGTGAGATCTAGTTTAACCTGTGTACTGCTAATTGTTAGATGTGCTCCAGTGTGTCTTTGGGTATTGTCTAAACGTTAGTCACTCCCTTTTGGAAGAAAGTTGTCCTTATTTACTTAAGTTTGTTTTGCAATTTGGCTGGTGAGCCGCTTTACTTGTGTATTAATTAATAATTGTATTAACCCTAACCCTAAATAAGGACAACTTTCTTCCAAAAGAAAGTGTCTAACGTTTAGACAATACACAAAGACACACCTGGGGGAGAGGCTGCACCTGGAGACAATCAGGGAGAGAGAGAGAGACACACACAAAAGCACACGCACACAAGCACCAACTGCGGCACGTAACAGATAGCTTAAAGTAATGTTGTAAAATTACAACCGGGGCCTTACAGGGTTAAGCAAAGAAAGGGTGTAGTTTCTTACTATAACCACTAGATAGCATGATGACACTATATTAAAGCTGACTACAAAGAGGCAGATTTATTCCTTGCTTTTATGGAAAAATTACGGGGATTTTCTATCAATGCAATAATGAATTATCAATAAGATTACTTCATAAAAGAAGACATAAAATCGTTTTTCTACCTAATTGATGCTTTCAAAAGCCACTTCCTGCCATACATATCAAAACTGAAATAATTCAAATAAAGGATATTTTTAAAGCATTTATTGGACTTGAGCCAACCTTTTTAGCAAACATTTTTCTTCAGATGACAAAAAGTACATTTCTTAATAGAATGTAAAAAATGTAACTGTTAAACTGGATGGCAGTGACTAAAACCAGGGACCATCATCAAAATGTATTTCTTTTGTAAGCTAAATGTGTTAAAGAAAGTTTTATTAACCTTTAACATTAGTTCCAAAAATACGTCATTGCTTAGCTCTTCGTAGCAATATAATACCTACCAATTAAATTACATATTTTTAAAGGGATTTTCTACATTCTTGGTTGTTGTCGTTGTTGTGGTTGAGTTCGAGTTGTGCATTATGTAGCTAATTCAAGGAAAGAAAACAATCTGTCTTAAATTATTGTCATAAAGCTTAGTTCTTTGTAATTATGAAGACTATAATGGTGAGAAGATTGTAAAATCCAAACACCAAGATCACAACTCTCCCTGATGCTCTAAGACCATTTAAAAAAAAAATGTCCACCATGAGAGCGGTGTAAATAAAGATCACAAAGGTCAATGTAATTAGTGCATATCTTCTGTCAACCTGAGCAGGTGCTAGTTTGATCAAATCCTTTTTTCCAGTTTAATAATGATGCCCTTCTCTGGTCGCAGGATGAGCTCTCCTAAAGGCCGGAGATCTTCACGTTTCTGACAAGCTTCAACACTAAAGTTACGCAGGATGGCTGCCAAGACCACCTTTTCCTCCATGAGAGCAAAACGCTGACCTGAGGGGGATTACAGACAAACACAATCCGTGGTTACTCTCCAGAGAATCTCTGAGGAAAATCTGGAAACTATGCTTGACAGATCTGATCACTATAGACAATCAAACCTTTCCCCTTTCTTACCGATACAGTTGCGGAGTCCAGCGGAGAAGGGGATGTACGCAATACGGAGGCCGTCCCACTCCATTCTCAGGCAGGAAGCGCTCAGGCCTGAACTCCTCAGGCTCGGGGGAAGTAGCGCGGGTCACGGTGGAGAGCGTAGGTCACAACGATGGCATTTGCACCTTTGGGCACCTTGAAAACCATCTACAGGTATAAATAAAAATAGAGTTACTGTTATACAACGGTTCGTGTTATTGTTCTACTTTGGCCATCATCCCTAAGGATTTAGATAACTTGTAATCATATTTTGTATTGAGGATAGGTAAAACGGTGAAATTGCTACAAATGAGTCCAAAGTTCAGTAACAAAGATCAAACAACATCATACAATACATGTAATCTCACAAATAAATAATGTTTTCAGGTGAAAGACTCGCCTACCCTGGCTTCTTATCAAATACATAATTTGTTGAATGTTTTATTGAAGTGTGATAACTCACTGATATGGCAGTCTTCACCAATGTTGCGGGCAAAGAAAGGCACAGAGGGAAACAGTCGCAGGGCCTCCTTGATCACACACTCCAGGTATTTGAGCTTCTTCACGTCCTCCACGTTAGCAGGCCGGTTAGATGTACCTTTGTACAATAAACAAAAACAGTGTTAAAGTCAGAACAGCCATACAGATAATACGAAACAGAGTGTAAATGAGGTCACGCTAACGTTTTGCACTTTCTCCTACTTCTACTGTATATCCTTGACATATGTTCTACTTCTATGGTAGATAAGAGTTTGACAGTACTACGTTGTTTAAGTGACACACCCCATGATGTGTTGCTTTTAATTAGGAGTTCAAAAGTCAATGCGTTACTGCATACATGTCTATAGATGACCTGACCTTTTATCTAATTTGACAATTATTAATGGAACAAATTGATTATATTGAAATTGATTATATAGAAATCTGCAGTTAGGTAATGTAAATTTTTAAATAGGCCTATAACAAATAAATACATCAACAAATAAAGAACATCAACCTGGTGTTAGCTAGCACCTGTTACTTCAACAGAGCCATCCAGCTTACGTCATGGAGAAATGCTTTGAGGCCATCGTGAATCCACAAAGGAGTGAAAATAATTCAATTCTTCTTTATGTTTTTAGGGCAAATATTTTCCAGCTAATTTATCTGTATAAGCCCCATTAGACTTGTAACAGATACATCTGAGTCAAAAGGCCCTTTGGGAAGGAAAACAAGTGATGTCATGAAAGTGGGAAGGTGTGGTATTTGGGCATGTTACCAAACACCACTCCTGGAGCTCTTGTTGAACTCGGCTGTGCGCCTCGGGGTGGGCACCCAGCAGATTGCACGGCCCAGTTCATGGAGGCCGCTGTAGTGTCATGGGCCCTGCAGAGAAAGGGGTGTTGAATACAAATAACTAAAAAATACTTACGACTGTGAGGCTGGGTTAATTGATTTTATTAGGACCACTTGGGGACAGAGAAAAAAGCTTGAAAATGAGCCATAAAGTTACTATAGTGAATGTGTTGTTGTACACATTCAACAGGACACAGAGAAGCGTTAGGAATGTGCATGTATGTCGAGGAGAAATAAATACATACATACATACATACTCTTAGTTGTATAATGGTTTTTGGAGCCAAGGCAGAACGTATAAAAGTTAGCGCTGAGCTTCAGTCTGCAATGTTCAAAACAACAGATAAAGCCAGAAATCTAGGTGTAGTCATGGACTCTGACCTGAGTTTCAACAGTCACATTAAAACATTACTAAATCAGCCTACTATCACCTAAAGAACATATCTAGGATTAAAAGACTAATGTCACAGCAGGATTTGGAAAAACTTGTCCATTGCTTTTATCTTCAGTAGACTGGACTACTGTAATGGTGTCTTTACAGGTCTCACTAAAACATCTATTAGAAAGCTTCAGCTGATTCAGAACGCCGCTGCTCGAGTCCTCACTAACACTAAGAAAGTGGATCACATCACTCCTGTTCTGAAGTCCTTACACTGGCTTCCTGTCTGTCAAAGAATTGATTTCAAAATATTGTTGCTGGTTTATAAAGCTTTGAATGGTTGGGCCCGCAAAATACATGTCTGACCTACTGCTAAATTATGAAACCATCCAGAACTCTCAGGTCTTCAGGGACTGGTCAGCTTTCTGTCCCCAGAGTCAGAACTAAACATGGTAAAGCAGCATTTTAGTTATTATTGCTCCAAAATATCTGGAACAAAACTCCCAGAAATCTGCAGGTCCGCTGCAACTCTTACTACTTTTAAATCCAGGCTGAAGACTTTTCTTTTTGTCGCTGCTTTTAATTGAACTATTCACATCTTAAACTGCACTGTAACTTTTAATCCATGTATTTTTTTCTTTTAATGTTTATTTTATTATCTTTGCTTTTTAATGACTGATTTTAAATGCCATGTCTTTCATTTTTTGTAAAGCACTTTGAATTGCCTTGTGTTGAAAGGTGCTATAT